AGCAGTTAGCGTAATGGCTATGTTGCTGGACTCCCATGCAGTCAAACACGGTTCAAGTCCCAGACCCCAGTGGCTTAAACTCATGCTGGGCCTGCGTGTGTGCATGCCCAAGATCGCGAGAGGAGAGAGGAGGAGAAGGGATTGCGGTGTGGTCATCCTCCCCTGGGGGATGATTTCTCGCTTTCTGTCTCTCCGTCTCTCTGGCGAGCTCACTTTTATACACAAGTTTGAATAAATCTATTTCTTTGATCTATATGCTAATTCTTATATATTTTTTATACCATTTGACTATTGTAACTGTACCAGGGTACTTCAAAAAGTTTGTGAAAAAATACAATTAAAGTGAGTTTATTTTGGTGCAAAACATTGTTTAAACATATGCACAGCTTTTTCATAATACATTTCTACAAACTTTTTGAAGACACCCCTCTTCCCCCCATATGCAGCACATTCCCCTGTAGTACCTTTTGTTGGCTAATTCGACCCAGTTCTTTTCCAAGTTGAAAGCTACGTTACCTTGTGGGCCCATACAAAGACCAGCTTCTCCCAACTTGGTTTATAGCTTTCCTGCTTTAGAAAGAATATTAGTATAGTTGAAACTATGTCAAAAGTTTATACTTATGTAGAACAGAATATATCATTAAGGATGCAAAAATAAAGACTAATCTCTTAGTCATTGTTTGAATAGTTGAAAAGTGACCACAGAAGTGAAAAGGAGGTCAGCCCATGAAATCTGACTTTATGACCCAGTCATCCATCATGTATGCAGAACAAGCCATCAATACTTTTCTTGTCCCTCAAAAAATCTTGACCTAATAAGATGGCTACTAATGCCAAGATCTTGAAATTTTGCTCTTATTAAATAGTGACTTTCTAAAAAATAAACATAAAATATCATGCTGTTTTTACACAACAGGTTCTCATAGAATATTTATAAAAGTCAGCTAAAATTCTTAGAATATGAAATTAATTTCATATTAAGTATGGAAAATAAAATTATCTTATAATACACAATTTTGATTTATAAAATTAGCATATATTATAAAATTCAATATTGTAATATTTAACATTTTGCTGTACATTTTCCCATTTTTAAAATGTTGGCATTTTCTCATTAAAGGTATCTCTTCTGATTGAGGGCCCCAGACTGTTCAGTGCTTCTAGTGTCCCCCACTAGAGTAACCTTGTCTGATGCTCAGCTTCCTTCTAGCTGCTGGCACCCAAATCTGCAGACTTCCATTAAATCCGAGGCACTGAGCCAATTCTTGTTTCAGGCACTCCACAAAATTTAGGCATAGACTTTAGAGTCAAACAAATCTGAATTTAAAATGGAGCTGTGGTTTTTTTTTGGTCAAACCACCACAATGCTGTGGGTCTCAGTTTCTTCATTTATATAATGAAGATAACAACTTTTTTTTTTAAGTTCTGGACAATAACTTCTACCATATAGAGTTATGATGAAATAAGAGTATACATTGCAGTATGCATTTAGTGTATACTACTCAGTATAATAAACCATCAATGTAGTAATTGTCTTTGTTACATTTCTGAAATATCCCCAGTAATTCAAACAAGGATGCAGTACCTTAGTTGACTGCATATTATGGGAAGAAACTTGGATGTCATCTACAATAGGTTTAAAAACTATTTTTAAAGGCATATAGTGTTGCTTATTTTGCCTTTTCAATTCTCTCTGGATAATATCTTATTTGTTTTTCCACTTAGTGAACATCCCAAAATAGAATTTTACTTGAAAAACTTTACATCGGCCAAAGATGTTTTGTTTGCCATAAAGGAAGTAGGTTTCAGAGGAGGTAATTCCAATACAGGTAAGTAGACTTGACACTTGAGATGTAATGTAGCAGAATGGTCAATGAGCACTATGTAAAACAGTATTATGTGGGGCCTGCGGGTGGTGTGGTGGTTAAGGCACTGGACTCCCACATAACTGACCATGGTCCAAGTCCCAGACTAGGCTTGAAAAACACAACAAATAAATACATAAATAATTATAAATACACACGCACACACAGTATTATGCTGAATTACATAAGCAGATGTGGAGCTCTTCCTCTGCCAAAAGCGTAGCTAGGTGTGCTTATAACCATGTGCAATAAATATTCTATATGATGGAAAATATACAAAAGGGTTCATCGACATTTTTTTAAAAAATCTTAAACACTGTGATTTATCTTAGATTGGCTAGGCCAATATCACTTTTTTTAAAGAATAATTTCATTAATTATCTTTTTTAAAGTTGACCAGAGAGACAGAAAGAAAGCAAGTTGTCAGGTTTGGGACTCAAACCGCGGTCTGCCGTGTGGGAATCCAATGCTTTAACCACCATGCCACCTGCCGACCCCACTATCACTTTAGTAAGTACCTGGTTAGGGTTGGCCTGGTGACCTAGTGTGAAATGGGAGTTGGATCTCACATTGCTGATAGCAGTTGAAATCTTGGCCCAGAGGCTTGAAAAACAGTAGGCATGTGTGCATGCATGCTCCAAATCTCAGCAGGATGGAGAAATGGAAGAGAAGGGATTATGGTTTGTGCCTGCCTCTTTCTTGGAAAACACACATACTTTCTACCACCACCCCCCCCCCAAAAAAAAACCCACCTACTTGTTTATAATGCTAAAAAGAAACAAAGATCAACAGTTATCTAATGAAAACAGGTAGATAGAATTAGAATAGCACTACTGACCTCTAAAGAGAGACTTCTTATTCTGAGTTCTTAAAAGCAGTAATTAGTCACCAAAGGCTAGAGAGCACAGGTACATGAATGAGTCAGTTTGGGAGTCTCCCCCATCCACAGCAGTTAAGACACTGCGTAGAGGAAGATAGATCCTGCCCAACTAAGATTCGAGTCCCAACCAAAATGGCTTCACACCAGTATGTGTGCTGAGGATCCTGACAAGATGGAGAATTAAGGAAAAATGACTGCAGCATGTCCAGGCCTCATTGTGGAGGTCCTGCCTCTCTCTGATGTGCATGTGCACACGTGCCTTGTTGCATAAAGTGTTTTGTTTGGTGATTGATGTCAGCAAAGGGAATGTGAGGCTTCTGAGAGGTGGAGAAGTAACGTGGGTTGTCAAGACAAGATACAGGCCTGATGATAATTGCACTTTCCTGTCTGATGCATCTGCTATAGAACCAAGTTCTGTGTAAGTTGAATCCTTAATGTTGGTGGCATCTAGTTGCTACAGGACAATAGAAATGTCATTTGAGCAGTGGTAAATGCTGTTTGTCTCTTTTCAAACCTAGGAAAAGCCTTGAAGCATACTGCTCAGAAATTCTTCACAGCAGACACTGGAGTGAGAAAAGGGATCCCCAAAGTGGTGGTGGTGTTCATTGATGGCTGGCCTTCTGATGACATCGAGGAAGCAGGCATTGTGGCCAGAGAGTTTGGTGTTAATGTATTTATCGTTTCTGTGGCCAAGCCTATCCCTGAAGAACTGGGGATGGTTCAGGATGTTGCATTTGTTGACAAGGTAAGGTAGTGAGGGGTATCTTCTCTTGTGGTTACTCAGTTTTGGACCACTAAGCGTGGGTACACTGACCCATATCTAGATTAACTTGAACATGCAAGATTTAATGTCTGTGTAACTTTTAAGAAACAACTTTTGATCCTTTGGGTCTTTTTGTGTCTTTCTATTAGGCTGTCTGTCGAAATAATGGCTTCTTCTCTTACCACATGCCCAACTGGTTTGGCACCACAAAATATGTAAAGCCTCTGGTACAGAAGCTCTGTTCTCATGAGCAGATGATGTGCAGCAAGACCTGTTATAACTCAGTGAACATTGCCTTTTTAATTGATGGCTCCAGCAGTGTTGGAGATAATAATTTCCAACTCATGCTTGAATTTGTTTCCAACATAGCGAAGACTTTTGAAATCTCAGACATCGGCGCCAAGATAGCTGCTGTACAGTTCACCTACGATCAACACACAGAATTCAGTTTCACTGACTACAACACCAAAGAGAATGTCCTAGCTGTTATCAGAAACATCCGCTATATGAGTGGTGGAACAGCTACTGGTGATGCCATTTCCTTTACTGTTAGAAATGTATTTGGTCCCATAAGGGACAGTCCCAACAAGAACTTCCTGGTGATTGTCACGGATGGACAGTCCTATGATGATGTTCGAGGCCCTGCTGCAGCTGCACACGATGCAGGTAAGGTCCTTATCCTTTGTATGAGACAGGAACTGAGGAAGGGTTTGGTGAATTTAAGAGTAAATAAAACAAAGCATTGATTTTACCAAACACACACCTATAGTATGGAATTCTTCTAAGAGTGTTACCTAATACTGACTTGTCGATGCAACCCTACCACTCTCATGCTACAGATAAGGAAAGAAACTTCCCCCAGATGGTACAGCTAGTAAGAGGCAAGGCCACAATTCAAACCCAGGAATCCTGGCCCCAGGGTTCAACTCCTACCTACTGCACTATTGGGAGAATTACCAGGAGCAGCAGGCTATGCATCAAGGAAGTATGTACAGGTGCTCACGTTTGGCTTAAACTTGGAATATATCCCCAGATAATCATTGGCCATAATCTACCATATAGCTATCACTTGATAATTTATCCTTACTTTTGTTTTAGTGAAGTTTTGGTGAGCATTTTTTTTTTGAGAGAGAGGTTTTTGCTATAGGGCACATGTACTGGCTAGAAAAAGAGAAAGAGAGAGACAGAAAGCGAGAAACCGTTCCCCAGAGGGGATGGCCATGCTGCAATCCATTCTCCTCCATTCTCCTCTTGGGATCTTGCGCATGCACGCACACGCACCTGGCATGAATTTAAGCCATCGAACCGCATTTGACTACATGGGAGTCCAGCAACATAGCCATTACGCCAACTGCTGGTCCCCTTGGTGAGCTTTTATGATAAAGTCTCAAAGACTTTAATCCTAATTTAAACTCTTCCCCCCCCCTCCCTTAGAATAATCAAACACTCTGGCATTATAAAAGGATTTAAGAAAGGTCTCCATCTTTTTAACCCCAGCCCTAGTTTTACTCTTGACAAAGGCCTAGTTACGAATATGTTAGCATGTGTTTGCTGAAATCAAACAGGCCAACCAAAAAGCTAAGGCTCCCTTTCCAGGCATGTAACTGAGTGATTTAGGAATCAGTAGCCTTACATTTTCCTATATTCTACTCTACGTCATTTTTCCCTACTTAATTCCTAATGACTTAAACTTTTTCTTTTTACACATTACCATCTCTAATGTGGTTATGCATTTCTATAAATTTTGAAGAAAAACTGGTTTTATTAAGTAGGACTGAGAACTGATTCATCTAACTTAGGCTATACCTTTGGCTTATAAAAAGTACTTTTTATACATCCACAAATAACCTGGTGAAGATGTTTGTCATACTCCTTAAAACTTAGCTTACTGGGGGGCCAGCAGGTGGCATCGTGGTTGGGGCACTGGACTCCCACATGGCTGACTGTGGTTCAAGTCCCAGACTGGCAGCTTGGTTTCTCACTTCCCCAATCTCTTTGTCTCTCTCTCTCTCTCTCTCTCTCTCTCTGGCTAGCACATGTGCCTTATATGCAACAAACAAATAAATAAAATGAAATCTTAAAAAAAAAATTTGCTTACTGAACTAATTTATAGTTAACAGAGTTATATTTAGGCTAAATACCCTATCAATTAACTTGAGGTAGGGCCACTTTGTAACTGTTTTATGAAAAGTATCCCTGGGGCCAGCAGGTTGCATGGTGGCTAAGGGCACTGGACTCCCACATGGCTGACCATGGTTCAAGTCCTAGACCTGGCACTTTCTCTTTCTTTCTCTGATGACTATACCAAATTAAAATAATAAAAATAAAATAAAAATTCTTTAAAGAAAAAAGTATCATTTAGTGAAGTGAAGTCACAAATACCAGGAAATAGAACAGACTTTTAGGGCTAGGTCCCAACTGTATTTAAAAAATAAATAATAATTGTAGTTAAGTATTTTGCCTTAGCTACATAATCTGAACAGGTATGCAGAATTTAAAAGTGAGTAAATCTGGGGGCTGGCAAGTGGTATGGTGATTAAAGTCGCTGGATTCCCACATGGCTGGCTGTGGTTCAAGTCCCAGACCTGGTGGCTTAGTTTCTCACTTTCCCTTTCACTTTATGTGATCAAATTAAAAAACAAAACAAAACAAAACAATAAACAAATGGAATTAAATAATTATTTTTTTAAAAAGTAAGTAAAACTGAAGAGAGGAAAAACTAATGTGAACTTTGGCTAAGAGGTAACAGAAGGGAGAGGGGATTACTAATGGTGGTAAATCAGAGATTGTTTCAAGTAGCTTTAACATACTCTTAACCTGAATTCTATCTTTAAGTCTTGATAACACTGAGCTGAATAACATTAGAAGGTGGATGAAGCTTTGGATAGTAGGGCAGTGATTATTTCAGAAACTCAAACTGTGATAGGAATTTCACTTAGAAGACAGATGATAATTCACATGAAAGCCTGATCAAATATTTCTACAACTGGGATTGGAATGCATCTAACTTAAATAATACACCTTGGCCAAACTGTTCAGTTGGACCAAAAGCCTTCTAGTTACTCAAAAGAAGGCAAATGAAATGCCTCAATGAAAACAAACAGGAAGAGATTACTCTAGCTTCAGAGAGAGACCTGTGGCAGGTATTTAATCACTTAATTTTTCTTTGGGATTCAAGACAATTTCTGATTATTGGACAGCTTGCCAAAATAACTATAAAGATTAAAATACAAGAAATGTTATCATTTATCAGTAAGTCTGGTGGTACCAGCAGATGTCATAGTCATTACATCACTGGACTTGCATATAGTTGACTATGGTTCAAGTCCCAAACCTGGCAGCTTAAAACACACTAGTCATGCAGGGTTGTGTGTGTCTGTATATGCCCAAGATCCTGAGAAAAGAATAGAGAAGGGATTGAATTGTGGCCATTCCCCCTGGGGAGTGATTTCTTGTTTTCTCTGTCTCTCCAGTGAGTGCATATGCATTATACCACCCCACCCCCCAAAAAAAAATTACCTGAAAAAAGAATCAGTCAATCTGCAGCTGGCAGGTGGTGTGGTGGTTAAAGGCGCTGGACTCCCGCATGGCCAACCATGGTTTGAGTCCCAGATCTGGAGGCGTTCTGCTGGCCAAATTAAAATGATAATGATAAATAAAATTAAAAAGTCCTTAAATTCTTTTAAAAAGTCTAGTCACCGTTCCTGCAGACAATGCAACCTTAGCAAACTGTCACCATTTACTTATCCCATCTTCTGTGTCATTCTTTATCACTTTAATGTACCAGTCATTGCTCCAGCATAGGTTCACTGACATGCATTTGGTAGGCAGCCCATTCTCATGCCATTCTGAGGAGAAATTTTCACCATGTTTGATTGCTGTAGATTTTTAAAGAGATTTTTGCCATAGGGCACACATGCTTGCCAGACAGAAAGTGAGAAATCAATCACCAGAGAGAATGGCCACACTATAATCCCTTCTCCTCCATTCTCCTCTTAGGATTTTGGGCACGCATGCACATATGCCCAGTATGAGTTTTAAGAGACCAGGTCTGGGACTTGAAACATGGTCAATTATGTGGGAGTCCAGCAATATAACCATTAGGCCATCTGCTGGTCTGATTGCTGTAGATATTTCTAAAAAGATGCCATGTATCAAAAGATTATAAAGTTCTCTGTGGAAAACTTTCTGTAATTTTTGCTTTATTAAAAAAAATTAAAGATACTGTGTTTCAGGTTAAAGAGGTTTCCTTCTATTCTAAGTGTGTTCTGTGACAAATGGGTATTAAAGTTTTATCAAATATTTTTTCTGTATCAGTGATCATGACTGATCTCTTCATGTGACAAATCACAATACACCAATGGCAATGCTTCCTGTTTTGACTAAATTGTTTTGCCACTCTCATCACAATGACTTGTGAAAACCTACCTTGCAATTTGGTATAGGTGATTTAGATTTTCGGAAATGACCAGGGATATTTCTCAGCAACTATGCACTACTGTATGGAAAATAGGCACACGTAATTGTATATGGAAGCAATCAGGACCTGATTTTAATTCACTTTAAACTGTTTCCATTGTAGGTATCACCATCTTCTCTGTTGGTGTGGCGTGGGCACCTCTGGATGACCTGAAAGATATGGCCTCTAAACCAAAGGAATCTCATGCATTCTTCACAAGAGAGTTCACAGGATTAGAACCAATTGTTTCTGATGTCATTAGAGGCATTTGTAGAGATTTCTTAGAATCCCAGCAATGATATTCTGGCACTAAAAGAAAAAGTGCAAGGGGATCTAATGTTTAAATTGTATTCTCATAATACTGAAATACTATAGCATACTAGGATCAGATATAAACCTATTATATTAAATACATCAACACCCATTTTAAGCAAATAAGTATTCATTTAAAGCTACTACCTTCTGATTACAGTTTAGACTTTAATTATACAAAACACTCTGTTGAGGCTTTGTAATCACAGCCCTTAGAAACTCAGGAAAGAGATGTTGTGGATTAAAATCTTAAAAGAGTTCTAACATGCCTATTACATGTAGAGAAATGCAAATTCCATAGTACAATAAAAGAATCTGATACTTAGACCAAAAGCAACATTCCTTATTTAATCAATCTGAATTGCCTATATAAGGAAAATGAAAAGAGAAATTTAAATAGAAGTTTTTTTTTTTTAAATATAGTTCAAGTATAAATATTTTGGCCCAAGTAGATGTTTTCTTAAAACCAACAACAGAAGCTGTTATTTCATATACTAAAAAGTTATAATTATGGGTAATATGGAATCATGTATCAAGCTTCTTTTGTAGTGTGTTCCTAAGAAGACTGAAAATATCACACTGAACACGATAGCAGGAGTGCCTGATTTTTTATATTTACATCCCTAATTTTATATGTGTATAGATATATTGAACTTATACTCTAAGTCATCCAAATACTACAAAAATGTTAAGTTGGTAAAATTTTAACTTACTACTTATACACATTTAAAGACAAACTAATTTTGAATAACAAGTGTAGGAAAAAAATATTGTACAGTGTATATATTTAAGCAATAAAACTGCTAGTGACTGCTACCCTAAGCAGTCTTTTATTATTAAAAATATCTTGCTCTAGTATTTGGTAAAATTTCTCTATTCACTAATTCTATGGAAAAACAAATTAAAAAAATATACATAGGGGCCAGCAAGTGGCATGGTAGTTAAGGTTCTGGACCAACCATGGTTCGAGTCCTAGATCTGGTGGCTTGCTTTCTCAATTTCCCTCTCTCTGGTAATCATGCGTTCCCTATAGCAAAATAAAAAATAAAATTAATTTTAAAAATTATATAATAATGCCAAATATTTTTTCTTTCAATTATTTAATGAATGCCTACTGTTCTAGGCATTATATACAGCTACTACACCAAATTACACCTTGTAAGATGCTTTGAGTCCTTGATTCAACAAAAATGTTTTGTAATTAACATTATTTTTAAACATAAGTAAAGTTGTAAAGTTGGTTCCTAAGAAAGAATATCAGAACTCCCTTACTGTGATTTAGGAGATCTCACCAAGACCTCGTCCCACAGAAGGTCTCCATATCCCATCTTGCCTATCTTCTCTAAAAATAAGTACTGTGGCCTCCCACTTCATCTACCCAGGCACTCTACTTGCCTTGACACCTATCCTACTCGAAACTGTTTACACCTGACCTGAAAAATAGGTCAACTGGTTAAAATGTCATATTCCAGTATATCTGTTTAACAATTTTACAGCCTGTGTAAAGGAAATAGAGACTATGTGTGGGGAGAAGGCAGAATCGGAATTGCCTTCACCACATTAAAAATTTGGTAAACAGAGACTGAGAAGACAATCTCCCTCCTCCCTCTTTGTAAAAGGCTACAAATATGATTTGTTCTCATAACAAGGAGCGTTTTAACATTAAAAATGGGTTCACTGTAACAACTCCTCCGTTCCCCTCCAGTAAATAGACTACATATTCTCAGAAGTAAGCAGTAGGGCAGGCAAGTGGTATGATGGTTAAGAGTGCTGGATTCCCCACATGGCCAACCGTGGTTTGAGTCCCGGACCTGGCAGCTTGCTTTCTCACTTGGCACCCCCACCCCGAATTAAACAAGTTTAAAAATTCCTTAAAAAAAATACCACTTCTTAAAAGTCAAGCTTTAATAAAAACCCAGCTTTCAGTCATTAGGCCTTTTTGGGGTGCTGAACACTCCCACATGGCTGACCACGGTTCAAGTCCTGAACCCGGAGGCTTGCTTTCTCACTCTTTCTCTTGTCTCTCTCTCTCTCTCTCTCTCTCTGTCTCTGGTCAAATTTAAAAAAAATAGATTAAATTTTAAAAAAGGGTTTTTCCCCGTTTAATTTCATAAAGGACAAAGTTTTGAGGCATCTGAGATAACCAAAGAAGCTAATACTTCTACTGACTTAAAATGCAGTAAAAGAGCAGAAATCAGAGCTTTAAGTTACTACTGATGATTTTTATAAGTAAACACAATCAGGAAAAATGGTTAACAACTGAAAGGATAGTAAAACAATTTTTAAAAAGATTTATTACAATCCAACTTAAGTAAGCATGCCTAAATTTCAAATATGGTAGCCTGTTTATAACTTTTAATGCATTAAATGTTAGTCTTCAGCGGATAACAAGTAGTTCGGTATGAAATAATGAAAAAAGAAACACAAAATGAGAGGCAGGATATGATTAAATATTAAGGAAAAAAGTCAACATATTAAGGTTTGTATATAAAAATATTTTAAAATCGTATAAAGTATTATTTAATAGTCAAATTAATCACATAATTCCCATAAGTGACAAATGGTAGCACACGAAATGAAAATAAGACATTCTTTTTGCATCCCTTTAGTCACTTCCAAATGTTTAATATTAAAGAGAAAAATACAACAAAAGATAAGAGAAAAATAAACATATATACTAATTTTTATCCATTTCAGTTTTAATACATTCCAAAAGAGATGAATATTTATGCTTTGCAATGATAAAAATCACATTTCGGTTAAACAGTAATGTATTGGATTGGGATAGCTGCCAGAAGCAATACTAGCTTTGGAAAAGTTCATTTTTGAATTACTTAAAAAAAAAAAAAGGTGGAAAAGTGTCCCTTTATTTTCAGTTGCATTTGTTAGTTGGATGTGTAGTTCAGAGAACTCAAAAATGTTAAATAAGCTCTAAAAAGTTTTAATGTTTCACGAGCAATAATTGAAAATGCCACGTGGATTTTTATGGCAGATGACAACATTTTAATGTTTACACAATGTAACTTTCTTTTTTTTTAGGCAGCAGGCATTCAAATACAACTTTTCACTTAAGTTTTCTGGTATCCTCTTCTAATTCCATTTTGTAATTCTCTTCAAAGAAAAAAAGATATTACCTTATTAAGAGGAAATGTTTCAAGATATTAATACTTAACATTATTTATAAGAACAATTTTTAACTAATAAATAATGCAGTTATTCTTTGCTGAACTTTTTAGGGAAACATAGGAACTGAAATTCAGATTTAATAAAGTAACAGCATATCTAAGCATTGTTTAAAACCACATCTGTGCTTTTTTTTGGGGGGGGTTACTTTGGATTGCCTACTAGAAGATTAAAAAAAAAAATCCCTAAATGGAGTTAAGTACTTAGAAAGGCATTCTTTGTAGTGTTACTCTTTTAATCGTACTAGAATATCAATAAGCAGTATGTTTAAAAGAAAAGCATAAAAATGAAGGACTCACTAAGTTTAATTATGAGTTTAATTCCCTCTCCATTTCCTAGTTTAATTATGGAGAGTAAAGTATTGCACTTTCTTATTGAACACAAAAAGATGTAGCCCACAGTAACATACAGGTACACAATTTAATATTTATTATATGCATTTTATATACATTATTTTTCAATAGCTGTACGTTTGCTATGTGGTACAATCTTAAAAATTTGCTGATTCATAGTTTGTAAAACAAAAACCTTACAAAACTCATCAAAACTCGCAAACTGATCAAAAAGTTTTTGGAAGACTAGAAAAAATACTTTATTGTCTTAATCATGCATTACACAAACAAAATCTTTAGTTACACCATAAAATTAAGCACATCTAAAAAAATAAAACAGGGATAACTAGTCCAAACACAGCAGATTTCTGTATCCTGATTCAACTATTTTTGTACCCTATTTGTAATGCAAATAAAATTTTACTCCAAATATTTTTAAACAAGATAGTTTTGTTTGGAATCATGGCAAACCAAGATATGTATCTTGGGGGGAACCACCTTGGTTTGTAACTTAAACTATAAAATATTCCATTTTTAGTCTATTTTAGACTATTCAAAGAGTTCCAAAATAGATATACAGGTTCCTTTAGCACATTAATAAAAGGATATAAAGACCAACAAAAAGTGAAATAAATAATAGGCCATTAGCAAGATGGATAATCCTTGATAAATAAACTTGTAAATACAGTAAGATGTACAAAATATCACATAGTGATAGGATGCCAAGATTAGTTTTTTTTTTCTTTTTTAAGAGTTCAGTTGGAGTACTAAACCCGTTTCATTTTAATACACTTAATAGTCCTTGGTTTATGAAGACATTTATGTGATGATGAAAGTGATCTAGCATCTTTATGAAAGGACTTAGCTGAGCTGTATTAGGCAAAAGAAGGAAATAAAGTGGTTACAGGGCAGTGGGTCAGTGAGATCTGTTTTTTAAGGTTGTATAATGCAGAAAAACTTCAATACAATCTTGAGCACTGTTGTGACAGGCTAAATATATAAAAAGACTTATAAAAACTAGAATTTTATCCAAACATTTTGTGCAACTAATGCTAAAATATTTTAAGTTAAATTCTTTTTTTTAAAAGCAAAATAAGTTTAAAAGGGAATCTGTGGCATTCAACTGATAAACAGAAGATTACTAAGAGATGAAAAAAAAGCTACTCTTGGAGCTCACTTCCCCCCACAAGAGCACCACATTCCTAACCCTAAGGCAGCACACAGAGTCCAAAAAAAAGTCTTTTTGTAAGATCAGACTCTACACTGGCTTCAAGACACCTAAAAAAAAACAGACATACGCTCAGTTCGCATCCAGTAGAGGCCACAAATACTGGAGTCCATTTTTTGTCCCATGAAATACAGAAAATTACAGTAAATTAATGAGCCTGACATTAAGATGTGATTTCCACCAATTTATGCCTGCCCCTAATAGCCTTCACCAGGCAAATTACATGTAGTGTCATATCTGTAACCTTTTTGATGGCAGTGATGCAGACCCTCTTTCTGTCCAAGCGAATCTTTTGTTAGAATGTGAGTTTTTGTTGATTCACACAAATACTTTGGCAAGGGCATCAGCTCCTGCACTGGCAATATATGCTTTTGATGGATGAAAAGCAACATCATAAATTGATTCATCCAATTTCTTCCTATGAGCTGTTATCTCTTGCACACATGTCTTGCTGTCTAAATTCCACAATCTAATAGAACAGTCATGGCCTGTAAAAGAACAAACAAAGCTTATTACTGAGTAACAATTTTTTATATAGGTTTGTGGGTAGTACATGATATTCAGACTTACTTCCAGACATTAAATAGATTCCATTAGGATCTACTGCTAGACTTGTAACAGCATCCAAATGAGCTACCATAGAATGGATCATTTTACCTAAGGGGGGAAAAAAATAATAACCATTAAATTTTCACAAATACTAACTTGTGATATCAAAAACTACAATATAATACAACATCAACATGGAACTACTACTATAGTATCAACAGTTTTTAAATTTTTTATCGTGATAAAATATCTTTGACAGAGAGCCAGCTGGTGGTATGGTGGTTAAGGTGGCTGGATCCCACATAGATGACTGTGTCGTTCAAGTCTTGGAAAACATGCTGGCCCCATGCACCAGCCCAAAATCCCATGAGGAGAATAGAGAAGACATTGCAGTGTAGCCAACCTCTGGGTGGGGAGTGGGGTGCCTTCTCACTCACCTTGCTTTGGCAAGTGCACACGATACAAAATCTACTGTTTTACCATTTGAAAGTATACAATCAAGTGACTTTTAGAACATTCACAATGTTGTGTAATCAACACTATCAAGTTCAGAGTATTTTCATCCCTGCAAAAGAAAACCCTGTACCCACTTATGGGTCACTGACTACGTGTCCCCTCTCCCCATACCCTGACATTAACTGGCTCTTCCTATACACTGACCTACTTTAGATACTTCTTACAAAAAGACTTACACATGGAGCTTTTTGAATCTGATTTCTTTAATTTAGTATAATGTTTTCAAGGTGCATCCATTAGAGTAATTCATTAGGAGTAATAATTTGAAGATAATTTAAATTTTAATAAAGCAGAACTTTCCTAGACAGTTACTTTTTTTCTTTCTTTCTTTTTTTTTTTGCTTTAGGGCACTTGTGCTGTCCAGAGAGACAGAAAGCAAGAAATCTGCCCCCGTCCCCGCCCCTAAGGGATGGCCATGCAGCAATCCCTTCTTCTCCATTCTCCTCTTGAGATTTTGGGCACACATGCACATGAGACCAGCGTGAGTTTTAAGCTGCCAGGTCCAGGACTTGAACCATGGTTGACTACATGGGAGTCCAGTGACGTAACTGTTATGCCATCTGCTGGCCCCAGACAGTTACTTATTAAAGAAACATCTGTGTGACATGAATTTGTAAGTCTCTGATAGACACTGGAAAACATGATGATGACAGTATTACATCAAAGGTTTATTATTATATGAACTAAAATCAAAATAAAAATAGAGGGCCAGCTGCAATGGCACAGCAGTAATACAATGCTCTGTGACGTTGAACCCACATGAGAAGGTCCTGAGGTCTCCCTGTGCACCCTAGGCATGCACCAATACCCATGATCTGCCCTAGTTGATCCTGGGATAGATAACAGCATGAAAACCCTGGTGAGGGTCCTCTATCCATCTATCCCTCCCTCAATTCCCTTCTCTCTCACAGAAGAAATAAAGTTCATAAATAGACAGATAGAAAAAAAATAGGATCTTTCTTACTAAGAGATTTAATCTACTTATAATCATTTGCCCTGTTTCTGATCCTTTGATGACTTTAACTGGGACACAAAAGGGGTCTACTTTTATTAGTTGCCATGGGACTACTACTGTTGATCGGAATACAAAACCACAATATAATCAAATTTATAAAACTGTACTCTAAAAAAGCCATAAAAAATTAAAGAACTCTCATCATTTCATGCTACAGTATTTGTTTCTCATAAATACTAGGATAAAATAACAATAATTTTAGAAATTCTTCTCTGCTAGTCTGAAAAAAAAATCATACGGCAAAGCATCTTCAATTGTTTAGATCCACACAGCTCACCTTTCAGTTCTAAAAACCTCTCCTCTTAATATCATTAAAAAAGAATACAAAATAAGAAATGATTGGCCTTTTTCTTTTTTAGAGAAAGATGTTTATTACAGGGTGCGTATGCTCACTGGAGAGACAGAGAGAGATAGAAAGCAAGAAATCACCCCACCAGGGAGGATGGCCATGCTGCAATCCCTTCTTTTCCATTCTTTTCTCAGGATTTTGGGCACACATGCCCATGTGCCTAGTATGAGTTTTAAGCCGCTGAGTTCAGGACTTAAACCGTGGTTGACTACGTGGGAGTCCAGCAATGAAACCATTACATTTTTTTTGGTTGGGGATTTTTGCTACAGGGCGTATATGCTCACTGGAGAGACAGAGACAGAAAGTGAGAAATCACCCCCAGGGGAGATCACATGCTGCAATCCCTTCTCCTTCATTCTCCTCTTGGGATTTTGGGCACATAAACTCATGTGCCCAGCATGAGTTTCAAGCCATTGGGTCTAGGACTTACACAATGGTCAGGAGTCCAGCACCTTAACCGCCATGCCACCTGCTAGTCCCAAATAAATAATTCTTAAAACAAAATTTAGGAACCAACAGTTAGCGTAATGGCTATGTCGCTGGACTCCCATGTAGTCGACCGCGGTTCGCGTCCCGGACCCGGTGGCTTAAAACTCACGCCAGGCATGTGTGCATGCGTGCCCAAGATCCCGAGAGGAGAATGGAGGAGAAGGGATTGCGGCTTGACCATCCCCGCTGGGGGGTGATTTCTCGCTTTCTGTCTCTATGTCTCTCTCTGTCTGTCTGGCGAGCGCACACGCCCTATAGCGAAAACCTCTCAAAAAAAAAAAAGATCCAGTCCCAAGAAATACAAAGTACCCCAAATAGAATCAACCCTAGAAGATATTCTCCAAGACACATTATAGTCAGATTGACCAAAAACCACAAAGACAAGATACTAAGTCTGGCAAGAGAGAAACAGCAAGTTACCTACAAAGGATATCCCATCAGGCTAAGAGCAGACCTCTCATCGGAAACAATGTTAGTGAGGAAAGAATGGGAACATACATTTAAAGTGTTAAGGGAAAAGCAATTCAACCAAGAATACGGTACCCAGCAAGATTATCCTTCATATGGAAAGAAAAGACAAGAACATTCTCAGATAAACAAAACCTGAAAGAATTTACCAGCACCAGACCAGATCTCCAAGAAGTTCTCAAGGGAGTGCTATATCAGGAAAATTAAATATAGACACAGAAATAAGAGTTCAAAAATGGACAACTTAATCATGGGGACAAGTCTGGAGTTGAGTATTATATCCCAGAATCGGGAAGATCAAACCACAACAGAAGATAAAGTACATGAGACTGAATTGGTGAAATAGCATCTTAATGACTTTTGACTAAAACGTTGCTGATTTTCTTCTAGGCTTTGCTTTCTAGTTTTAAGGATTTTTGTCCTGTCTTGAGCTGTTGATAGGTTCTTGTACCTACCATTTGAATAGAATCCTAACCCACTTTAAGTTTTAAGCAAAGTTTCTTAGTATTTCTTTGATCTATTAAAATTAAAACTGCTTTTCTTGGAAAAAAGAAAGAAGGAAGGAAGGGAGGGAGGAACATAAAAAGGCAGGGGGGAGAACCAGTAGTTGGCATAATGTCTATGTTGCTGGACTCCCATGTAGTTGACCGTGGTTTGAGTCCCAGACCCAGTGGCTTAAACTCATGCTGGACACATATGCATGCATATCCAAGATCCTAAGAGGAGAATGGATGAGAAGGGATTGTGGCATGACTGTCACCCATGGGGGTTGATTTTTTGCTTTCTGGCAAGCGCATACGCCCTAAAGCAGAAGCCTCTCAAAAAAAAGGGAATATATATATGGGTGCCAGCAGATGGCATAGCAGTTACGTTGGTGGACTTGAGTCATAGACCCAGTGGTTTGAAAATCACACCGGGTATGTGCACCTATGTGCCCAGGATTCCGGGAGAATGGAAGAGAAGAGATTGTGGAATTGCCATCTCCATTGGAAGGTGATTTCTCACTTTCCCTCTTACCATCTCTGTCTCTCTCTTTCTGGCAAGCACATATACCCTAAGACAAAAACCTCTTAAAAAAAAAAAAAAAGGAATATGCGTGTGTGTGTGTGTGTGTGTGTGTGTGTGTGTGTATATATATATATATTTCTAAAAGCAACAATAATAACTCTCATTAATACTTCTAAAAAGTAGCCCAGGGAACCAGCAGTTAGCGTAATGGCTATGTCACTGGACTCCCACGTAGTCGATCGTGGTTCGCGTCCTGGACCCGGTGGCTTAAAACTCACGCCGGGCGCGTGTGCGTGCGTGCCCAAGATCCCGAGAGGAGAATGGAGAAGGGATTGTGGCGTGACCATCCCCCCTGGGGGGTGATTTCTCGCTTTCTGTCTCTATGTCTCTCTCTGTCTGGCTGGCGAGCGCACGCACCCTATAGCAAAAATCTCTCCAAAAAAGAAAAGTAGCCCATAAAATTATATATACATATATGAATATATATAAGAAATGCTAAAGAACAAAAGGAGACTTTTGCTATATTAATTTATAACTGAGTATGCAAGAAAAAAATTTCAAATGGAAAGATTCATATTTAAATAACCATGATTTGAAGAAATCATAACAGGTAAGGCAAGAAATGGCATATACTTGAGGATAAAAACACTAAATTACCAATGTGCTGAGTTCAGGGTCCAAGAGAAATTAAGATTTTCTACTGATAATTCAGCCTCCAGCAAACAAGATAGTGTGATTGAACTGCAAGAATTAGAAAGAAACACATCATCCATCAGATGACAAGAAATCACTGCAGGACCACAAGAAATATGGGAAAGCAAGATAATACCTCTCCTCCAAGGGAAAAGAATAACTCCTCTTCATCCACGAGCAGTTCAATGAAAATAATGGAAATGTCTGATAAAGAATTTAGAGCATTCATAATGGTGAAGCTAACAGAGATGGAAGAGAAGAGAGAGACAATGAACTGCTAAAGAGAAAGGAGAAAGAAGTTGACAAGTTCCAGGAGGTGAGGAAATTCTTGCAAGATCTAAAGGAGGAATTACACACTTTACAAAAGAATCAAACTGAACTGTTAGAAATGAAGTCTATAATACAGGAAGTCAAAATCTCCCTTAAAAGTATTAAAAGCAGACTAGATCATACAGAAAGTAGAATCTCAGATGTAGAAGAGAAAATTGCTGGCCTAGAAAAACCCACCACGAAGACTGAGAAAATGGCCCCAAAATTTGAGAATAACATATGAGAAGTACTAGATACCATCAAATGTCCAAACATCCAGATAATTGGCATTTCACAAGGTGAAGAGATCCATAAGGGCACTGATAATCTATTCCATGAAATCCTGCAAGAAAACTTTCTAAACCTAGAGAGGCATTCAAAGATCCAGTCCCAAGAAATACAAAGGACCCCAAATAGAATCAACCCTAGAAGATCCTCTCCAACACACATTATAGCCAGGTTGACCAAAACCACAGACAAAGACAAGATACTAAGACTAGCCAGAGAAAAACATCAAGTTACCTACAAAGGACATTCCTTCAGGCTAACAGCAGATCTCTCATCGAAACAATGCGAGCGAGGAAAGAATAGGAAAATATATTCCAAGTGTTAAGAGAGAAGCAATTTCAGCCAAGAATACCATACCCGGCAAGATTATCTTTCAGGTGGGAAGAAAAGACAAGAACATTCTCAGATAAACAAAACCTGAAAGAATTTACCAGCACCAGACCAGATCTCCAAGAAGTTCTTAAGGGAGTGCTATGTCAG